GGAAAGATGGGGTAGTGATTACTGATGGGCGCCGAAGGGAGGGAGTGGGGGTCAGTGGGTTGAAGGGAGCAAGGATCCTCTAGAGTTTTTTTTCCCTAAAGTTTCCTAGAGTGGTGCATTGTGTGGTTGAGATTTAATGACAAGTCACATCAATTTTTCAACATTAAATCTCAACCACACAATACACCACTTTAGGAAACTTTAGGAAAAAAAGCACTCTAGAGGATCCTTGGTGGAAAGGGAGGCACAGATTAGGAAAGAAGATGAAGATGGTGAGGTGCATGTGTGTTTTGATAAAGAAAAATGATTTAGAGCATTAAATGGGTACCCATCCCCAACCCATCCCCTGTGGATATTTAAAGAATATCACCTACCCTACCCAATGGATAAGAAAAAGAGGGGAAAACCCATGTATTTGGGTTGGGTCTCCATGGATACCCACAGGGTAGGGTATCCATTGCCATCCCTACCAAAAATTTCTCGTTGTCGATGGGGTGTTCATTATCTTGCCGTGTGTATAAAGAGAGGAAAGATGGGGTAGTGATTACTGATGGGCGCCGAAGGGAGGGAGTGGGGGTCAGTGGGTTGAAGGTGGTGGTTTTCAGTGGTGAGCAGTTACTGGGTAAAGAAGGAAAGCACAAATCTGTTGAAAGAGAGAGTGAAAGGGAGACACAGATTAGGAAAGAAGATGAAGATGGTGAGGTGCATGTGTGTTTTGATAAAAACATACTGGCCTTGTTTGGTTTTAGGAAAAAAATTTTGGAAATTTTGTTTGATTTTTAATTTTTTTTAAAAAAAATTTCAAAATTACTTTCTTTCTCTTACACATTAATCAATCACTTTTTCTCTCTCCTCTTTCATTTTCAATCGTTTTTTCTCTCATATACATCTATTTAATTATAACAAAATATTAAATTATTTTAAATTCTCAAATTTCAAAACTATTTTCAAAATATACAACCAAACAAACTATAAAAATTTCTAGAATCTATTTCAAAAATATTTTTTGAAAACTTATCTCCCAAAATCAAATCAAACAAGGCCACAATTTATCTATGGTGTCATTTGTTCATTGGGTGACCATAACAATGACATTTACGGCTCATCTATAAATAACTTAAGAAAAATGATCAAGACCTCTTTTCCTCCACCCTCTTTGACCCCCTCTCTTTTTTGTTTGACCAATTTTTTTTTTTTTCTTTCTCCTCCAATCACCACCCGTCACGTGTACGTGGGGTGGTGGGAATTGGTGATTGAGGTGTTTCCATCAGAACCCATAACTTAATCTCAATTTCTCAAATGTCGAGAGAATCTATAATAGAAGCAAAGCTCAAGGGCGTGTTGGTGTAACTTATTTAAATAATAAATAAAAAAAATGACAAGATCCATTTTATCCCTTGTAGTTTTATTTTGGAGTATTTTACCTCTTATAATTTAAATATAGGCAAATAACCGTATTATAATTCTGGACTAAAGTGCAAAACTATGTTAAAAGGGAAAAATTATGGTAGATTCTTTCTCTCTCATACATATAATTTTCTATCTTAATAACATATTTACCAAATAAAATTATAGTAAACTAAATACCATAATTTATTACCATAAAATTACATTAATCTAATTTTTAATTTTTAACCCAATTTCTTACTTAACAGTTTAAATTAAAAATAAAGTGACCATAAATTAAACCATAAGATTAATCTAAACACCTTAATTTATTACTATAAAATTAAATCATAAAATTATTTTAATCTAATTTTTAATTTTTAATAACATTTTTAATTAAACATATAAATATATATATATTTAACAAATTAAATCATAAATTATACTAAATACCCTAATTTATTACCATAAAATCACCTTATTTAATAACATTTAATAAATTAAATCATAAAATTACCTTAATCTAATTTTAAATTTTTAACCCTATTTACTTTTTAATAACATTTTAAATTAAACATTTACATATATACACATATATATGTTAAATTAAACCATAAATTAACCTAAATATTCTAATTTATTACCATGATATACTATTTATTTTTAATCCAATTTCTCATTTAATAACATTTTAAATTAAATTATTGATGAAAGATAACAATTAGGGTTAAGGTTTGACTAGGATTAAGATTTAATTTAGAGAGTGAAATGACTATGAGGATATTATTAACATTTAATTCAATGTTTTGCTTCAATTAATGATTTTTACATTAACCACTTTCAATTTGGAAGAATATGGCACACCTTATGTTATCTCTAACTAAAAAACTAATCGTAACATTTTATTCTAAAACTATAAATAAGGACAAATTATATATATCTCCCTCGAAATTTAGCAAAATTACAGATACCCCTGAGGTTTGAGAAATTACAAATATTCTCCTACAAGTTATATTTGCATAACAAATTAGAGGACAAATTGTTATAAAAATATAAACTTCAAGGGCAATTTGTTATGAAAATATAAACCTCAAGGGGATATCTGTAATTCTCGAAACCTCAAAGGATATCTGTAATTTAGCTAAATCTCAAAAGAGATATATATAATTTGCCCAAAACTTAATCAGTATTTAAATCATAAGAGGGTAAAAATAAGTTGTTTTGAAAAGATAGTCAAAAATTGGCTTTTGATTTTTTTTTTAAATACGTAGAAAAAAATGAAAGATAATATAACCCAAAATAAATTGAAAAATAAAAGATAATTTTTAACTATCTCCTTAAAATAATCTAAAATATTTCGAAACGAAATCACAAGAGATAAAAATAAATTTTACACTAAAAAAAAAAGAAGGCAGAACTGTAAAAAATAAACCAACAGATTTTTTTTTACGCAGAGTAGAAAATCAAAGTGAAACACGCATTGAGATGGAAAGTCATATTGTCACAGCCACGTGCTCTGACTCAGTGACATTACCATGTGACCCGCCCGATTACGATCACTCACCAGCTTCAATCTGCAGTTTCGCGGCGACTACTAGTCTCTACTCTACTCACAAACTCCTCCCTTGTCCCAAATGGAAATAGGTGACTCCAACTTGTCCCCCGATGGAAATAGGTAGCGGCCAACACCCCCCCCCCCCCCCAAAAAAAAAAAGAAAAAAAAAAAAAAGTGCCGATGCCTTAAACCACGCACTAAACTCTTTCCCAATTGACCTTCATAAATAATTAACTACAACAATGATTGGATGGACCTAAATTACCAAAGACTCCTTACGACCCACCAACACAAAACAGTGACCACTTTTTTTTTTTCCTTTGAATATCTTAATTTATTCAAATTTTAATTAATTTTTTTATGAGTATTAAGATTTACTGTTTTTCTTTTTCAGTATACATTTAAAAAAATGTTTCAGAATTTTATACGTAATCAATAATCAATGTATCGTTTGAATTCAATCATTATAAGATAAAATTTAGAATAAGGTTAGGTTTGACATAATCTATATAATTTATCTTTTTATCTTTTTTTTATCACATCACCTCTCTACTTTTCTGCATATCTTTTCGTAAAAAGAAAAAAAATACACTTTTTTAGGACATCCCAAACTAACCTTTAAATCTAAATTACACACAACTAATCTAAACCTGAATTTACATAATAGCAATTAGGGGTGGACATAGGTCGATTGCGGCCACAGAATCTTCAATCCACCATCTATCTGTCAAATTGACGAATTAAAGAAAATCAATCCGCACTCATTCACCAATCCGACAGATGTGAATTGAGCGGATTGATGGATGGATGCGAATCAGCTGAGCTGTTTAAAATTTTATAAATTTTCAATATAATTTAACTTGTACACTTTCCTCAAAAAAAATAATAAATAAAATATTACAGGTCATGATTTAAAAAAATATTACAATCACTGTATGCCTCATTCAAAAAAAAAAGTTTGAAATTTTAAAATATTACAATCACTGCATGTCTCATTCACATTGCAATCAACGCATGCCACATTCACATAAAATTTTACAATATGTGATTTTTAAAATATAAAAATAATTCAAACTACCAAAACCATAAACAGAGCAATAGTAAAGATTATATGAGATATAGTTACATCTCTATCTATTTTTGAAAACAAAAACCAACCAGCATATATCATCTTTTTTATTTATTATTTTTAGAGTTATATTTAAAAACCAAAAAAATATAAATAACTAATACATTTATTTTTTTCAATTCAAAAAAATATATTCAAGTTAAAAACTCTTTTTTCAATAGAATATATTCAACAAAATATTAAAAAATTTTTTTATTAAAAACACAAACAGAATATTTAAATAAATTGAAAACACAAAATCTTATAAATTAATAGGAGTGCTCGTGATTTGGCGATTTGGTTGCGGTCAAAAAAATCTCAAATCTGCTATCCGCTATCCATCCAAAATTAGGAGGATTAGAAAAAAATCAATCTGTAACCGTCCACTAATTATCACGCATCCGTCCAATATGCCGTGGATCAATTCAGTTAGGTCGGTTTGGACAGATCAATATATCCGCTGCTCACTCCTATCAACTTCATCACTATTGTCATTATTGTTATAAACACCATCATCATTTACTATCACTACTATCGCTACTACCACCCCCACCATGCCGCCGCCACCACCGCCACCACCACTATGCCACTATTACCACCACCATCACAATATAAAAACAAAAATATTTAATTTAAAAATAATAAATTTTAAATTAATTTTATACATATCAAATAATTTATTTTTAATTTAACACTTAAATTTTTATTAAATAATTTTTCAATTTAAAAAATTTAGTATTCAGTATTATACTTAATTTTTAATTTTTAAATTTTAATTTCACCAAACAGCACCTATGATTGTCATAGAATTAAATTATATTATATATTTGTGATAATCAATGATACAAATAGTATAAATTGAGAGTTATACCTTAGTATTACCCTCAACGCATATATGATACTATTATAATATTAATGTGTTTTATATATGTATAGTATATCGTTCTCTGCTTATTGTTCTGTTCGTTTCCATTCATTTTTTTTTCTCTCTCTCTCTCTCCTTCGAGAATTCTCCATAAACAAGAGAGAAAAAAAAAATAGACCAATACATCGAAATTCTTTCTCTGTTTAGACTTGTGATTTGTTTGGAAATTGATATTTCGAGTGTGTCTTATCGGTTGAATCGTAGCAATTGTTGGGTTCATTTTTTTTGGGCAAATATGGCGGTTTAGTTGACTCTATACATTTCGGCCGAAAGAGATCCAAAAGTCTCTTATTTTCCAGAGCATTTGAGCCGATCGCCGACTTCAGTCCGGTGGTTTACATGCCGAGTAAGAATTGAAGATTCACAGGGTTTGATTTTAATGTTTCTTTCCTTAAACGCCAATTGGTTCTGCTGCTAAGAGGGAAAGAAAAAAAAAAGTTAAAGGGGAACTGCGCGTTTTCTCTCTCTACATAATACACACATTCTCTCTCTCTCCCTCTCTCTCTAACTCGTGGGGGCTGTTGAGGCTGGACTCGTGTAATGTTGGGGTTCGGAGGAGTTCACAACTGAGCGATGGGTGGTCTAATGGGCTTTGTCTAAGAGATGGGGTACCTTCGATTCCTCTACAGATCGTGAGAAAGTCAAACGCTTGATCTAATTCTGTACAACCACAGCAATTTGGACACCACATCAATTTGGATTCAAACTCCCCCAAATCTCTCAACACGTTTCAACACCAATCAAAGATGATGAGAATGAAGACTAAAACGACAGGGCTGTCACCAACCAATGGCGGCTCAGGCGGAGGCGGAGAGTGGGAGGTGAGACCCGGAGGAATGCTGGTTCAGAAGCGAACAGATTCAGATCAAAGCCGAGTCCCACCACCCACCATCCGTGTTCGAGTCAAATACCGGTCCATTTACCACGAACTCAATATCAGCTCTCAAGCCACCTTCGGTAACTGGGAAAAAGAACAAAAACTCCATTATTAATTTGCCATTGAATGGGTTGTTGAAAAAGAGCAGTTTTGATGATTTTATGTGCATTTTGGGATTGCAGGGGAATTGAAGAAGATGCTGTCTGGGCCGACGGGACTGCACCACCAGGATCAGAAGCTGCTGTTCAAGGACAAGGAGAGGGACTCCAATGCCTTCCTTGACATGTCAGGAGTCAAGGACCGATCGAAGATCGTTTTGGTTGAGGACTCAATTAGCCAGGAGAAGCGGTTTCTTGAGATGCGAAAAAACGCAAAGATGGAGAAGGCTTCGAAATCAATCTCTGAGATCAGCTTGGAGGTCGATAGGCTTGCCGGGCAGGTATTTTATCTTATTTCTTTTTTCATACAAAATTCTAATATGAGTATGAATTTGTTGTTAATAGACTGTTCAGTTGATTTTGTTTGTTATTGGAATTGGGTAGGTGTCAGCTCTTGAATCAGTAATCTCTAGAGGTGGGAAAGTTGTAGAGAAGGATGTATTGAATCTGACCGAACTGTTGATGAATCAACTGCTTAAATTGGATGGGATTATAGGTGATGGGGATGTGAATTTGCAGAGGAAAATGCAGGTAATTTTTAATCTGCATTATGATATGTGGATTTTAGATTTTGATTTGATCATCACTTTAAGATACTAAATTTTCAATTTTGACATCACTCTCTTGAAGGTGAGAAGAGTGCAGAAATATATTGAGACTCTTGATCTGTTGAAGATCAAAAACTCAATGCCTAAGAGCAATGGAAGTCAAATTCCACAGCCGCAAGCCCCATTTCAACAACAGAAGTACTCGAACGGGCAAATATCCTCACCAAATCAACAGCAGCAAGTGAGGCGGTCGGTTGGGCATTTGCCAATACAAACACAACCCCTGCCGCCACATCAACCGCCAAGGCATTCAACTTCTGGAGCAGTTGTCATAACCACACAATGGGAGACATTTGATTCTGGGCCAGCCATGGTGCCAGGGCACCCTTCAATGTCCACTACTGCATCAACCACCACCACCGTCAATTCAGTACAACATCCAAAATTCAATTGGGATTTGCTTTGAGTAAGTAGTGAACCAAGTATCTGTTCTAGTGTGTGTGGATGAGTGTTTTGGATTTGCCTCGAGTTGGTTTGGTATCTTATTCTCCATTCTTTTCTGTATTTAGATTTGTTAGCACCCCCCCTTTTTATCTGTCCTTCAGTTCAGAAAATAAATGGGGTACTTTATTATAGCCAATAATATTACTTTGTTCTTTTCTATTTCTTTGCTATCCTCCCAAGTCATTGCCATTTGTATGTTTCTGGCTTTGACAGTTATAACAGTGTCTCTATGTAGATTTGTTACTTGAGATGTTAGGATTTTAAGTGAATCATAAGTGCATGTGGAACTCAAAAATCTCATTTGGTAAAATATTTAATCTCTCCCTCTCTCTCTCCTCACCTCATTTGTGAGCGGGTAAAGCAGGTCAATCCAACTTTTGGTGTACTTGTGAGTTACCATAACAGAAATGCTAAGTGCTCAGAAATAAATAAAAAAATTATAGTTGATGCATAATGATTAATCTTTTATATCTTGCATCCTTTGGAGGATACAAAATGACAGAGAAGGGAATGTTAGTGAAAACATATTTTTGTACTCGAATAACTAACCCATGCAAATTTATATAAAGACAAGTCTTATTACTGTTCTGCAGGAAATTATGAGAGTGGATTAATTTATACATTTGAAAAAGATGTAAGTATAATAAACACTTTTCCGCATGTCGAAAACTGAAAATCTCTTCTTCTTCTTTTTTTTAATTTTTTTTTAATTTTTTTTAATGCATAATGATTAATCTTTTATATCTTGCATCCTTTGGAGGATACAAAATGACAGAGAAGGGAATGTTAGTGAAAACATATTTTTGTACTCGAATAACTAACCCATGCAAATTTATATAAAGACAAGTCTTATTACTGTTCTGCAGGAAATTATGAGAGGATTAATTTATACATTTAAAAAAGATGTAAGTATAATAAACACTTTTCCGCATGTCGAAAACTGAAAATCTCTTCTTCTTTTTTTTTTAATTTTTTTTATATATGTAATAAAAGCTACTACAATAAAGAGCATATAGAAGAAGGAATGCATAAAATAAATTATGCTTCCTTTACTTACTTGTGTGAGGCCAAGATGCTACGGTTGTTCGCTTATATGAGTGCATCAATATCGGCTTGTATCTGATTTTGAATTTGGGAAATTTGCTATGAGCCACTATTAGCAACAGAAGTGGGAGAGTCAAGCTGTTCTCTGTGACAGCAGCATCATCCGACTCCGACCCAATTCCATAAAATTTTAGTGTTTTTAGAAACAAAAATACTCATTAGAGGATGTTTGTTTCAATGAAAAATTAAGCATATACTAATAACATGTAAATTTGATGGACGAGGGAATGAGGCATGGATTATGATATGAGTCAATAATGAAGGTTAATAAAGCATCAATTAGGTTTAATACAGGAAAGCGAAAGATTTCTTTTTCATTCTTTTGACATAATTAATCTTTGTGTTCCAATGAATGTGTTGAGAGTTTTCTGTATTAGTGTGGTAATTGTTTTTTCCTTCAAATCAAAGGAAGGCACTCTACATGAAACTCAGATCAGTTATTTCTGATACAAAATCTGGATCCCATCCTTCATTAACCATTTTGCTACACTAAACTGGTGCTGGTCACCATATGAATGCACATCTGTATATGCAAGAGAAAGTAGGGAAGTGGGATAAGAGAAATAATAGCGAAGTGGAGACTGTAAAAAATGTGCAGAATTATCAAAAGAGAAAGAGAATTAACTGTAATGAGAACTTTAATCAATACGATGGAGTAATGGGCAAAATTTCCCTAAAAGAACCATCTGTGATGATCATTACAATTACAGCACAAAAACAGCAATAATTGTGCACAATCAACTATTAAACTATCCTATAAGCATTCAGGAAAAGATCACCAATACAATTTTTTAAAACAAAAATTTCACAGTGGATTAACAAATGCTTACCTTATATTCCGTAGCAATGCAATTTCCTTCAAATCATGCAAGAAGCAGATCTTGGGTGCAACTTTGAGAACCTATCAGAGTAGAAGAAAAATAAAGGCACAGATAAAATAATAATGGATACTACCAAAAGATCTACATAGTATCGTAGATTACTCAGCAACTGAAACAGATACATTGTCATTAACAGGCTAAAAACGCAAGTAAATTTGCAAAACATCCACAAAAAATCTTAATAGAAAAATAGAGAAAAAATGTATTGCCTGAATGGAATTCAACACTTGCATTCTAAGAAAAACACATAAATCCATGAGCTAAAAAATGCAATGCCACAACTCACAAAATTATTACACACTTGGGACATGTTTGATTGGATGGATTAGAGCATGAGATTGGGATTATTAATCTGTAGGCCCAATTATCCTATGTTTGTTTTAACATTTTGGTTTAGGATTATTAATCCAATGGATAATTAATCCAACAAATTTATAGGATTATTAGTAATGGGGTATGGGTGAAATTATTAATCCAATGGATAATTAATCCAATTGAATAGTGAATATCACACTAATTTGATAGGATTATTAATACTTCACTATTAATCTTGTTAATCAAACATGGCCTTGCATTCTAAGAAAGGATGCCTTGGGGAGCAAAACAACTTCACAAAATTATTACATCTTAAATAAAGTTTAGTTGTAAGCTTTAAAGCATTTATCAAAGTACCTAAAAAGTATTTCAGTATAACAACATATGCTGATATGCCAGCTCTGGACTCTTGCTCAGAAAATCCAGAACTGATGAAAAATGGGCTATCACAAGTTCCTATATTAACCTGACTTTGACTACTGCCTTCAAAACTTATAAAGAATAAACAAATGAAACCATATTCAAGCAATTGTAGGGGAGCTCATTCTTTTGGTGGTTCAACCATGACAAATTAAGAAATTAAAGTGAAAGTAGAGGGAATGAAAGACTGAAATGGAAAGCAGTCTCCAAAATCAAAAAGCGACATGGTACTGTCTGATCAAAATACAATGATTACAGAAACCAAAGCATATTCCATAAATGTTTTGCTACCACTTTTTTTTTGAAAAACCTTCCGTTGTGAATGATGAAGACTGTTAAATTAGGCCATTTTGAGGTGGTCCCCTAATTGCTAAAGGTTACCCCAGTTGGTTTGTGGTCTAACTAAAATTACAAATCATGTAATCTTTCTCCCCATTATCTGTCTTATTCTCAAAGTCCTTTAACAAGGAAAGGCCACAGGTGCTTTATGTTTATACTTTATATCATTTTTGGCCCTTAATTACTTCATGTAGGATTTAAGTCTCTCATTTCCTTTCTTTTCTTATTTTTTGTTGTTTCTAAGTTTAACAAGGTACCAAAGAATACATTTCCAAATTGATCTCATGTATAAGCCTACTATTATTTGTAAACATTTTGGTTAGCCACCAATTATTCTAATGCTGGTTACAGCTTCCTTTGCACTTATCTTTAATTATATTTGATGAATTTGCTTGTAACTCCCTTCAACTACATATTCTTTCTCCAACTTCTAAATATCACCTTTGCTCTCAAAATCTGCCCACTTATCAAACAAAGAAAAGGGAGGGCTTTTGTAAGTTCTACTAAGTAGACTTATTGTCTAATAGGTCCTCTGATAATTAATGGCATTTTTCATCTTACACTATTAAAAAACGTCACTAATTGTTAATTTTCAACGACGGTTTAAAATTTGTGTCACAAAAAATGTCACACTATAAGTTTTAGCAGCAGTTTAAAAAAATTGTCAAAAAAAATGTCACTAATTTTCAACCTTCAGTGACAGTTTAAAAAATTTATCACAGAAAAACGTCACTAATTGTAAGTTTTAGCGACAATTTATTAAAACCGTGACAAAAAAAAAGTCACTAATTGTTAATTTGTAACAATATATCTAAAAAATCGTCACAAAAAATTATTTTTAGCAATGATTGTAATAGGACTTATTTTCAATAGGACTTAATATGAATTAAGTCCAACTATTAGGACCTAGTGATAGTTTACCCACAAAAAAATTGTGTTACAAACATCTATGTAATTCTATAGGTGGCTTCAAAGTTTGAACCAGAAGAAAACTGATCAAAATTTGAAGATTATTTTTTGTGCATTTTACACATGTAACACCCCTATAAATCTTATTAACATATTTTGTCCTTCTATTCAAGATTTAGTCAAACAAACTAGTCTACTCAGCCATCTTAGCTTCCACTTGCTAACGTAATCATAGTCAAAAGCTTCATCTACTAATCTTGTGACTCAATTTTACTAACAAAAGTATTGAGAAGTATACTTTCCAATGCACAAAACTCAAAAATGTTGAAAAGGCCTGCTGCCAAGTACCTCCGAAAGACAAATGGGCACATGCCTTGAACATGTTTCGGCTTCAAAAGTCCCAGAACTTATCAGTCATTTCAAAGAGCCCTTGAAGCATTCCAGAGCCAAGCTGAAATTGCTAGTTCATGAAGTCTAAATGATTCCAGCTTAATCCCACCTAATTGGGTCCATTTGTAATGTGTTCCTCATAGGATAATTCCCAAATGAAATAAATCCTTTTGTTTAACTAATGACACATAAACAAAGGTAATCCCCAAGTACCGCCAACTTATACAAACAGGAATTCATTCTCATCCATTTGCTTAGTTAGCTGGCAATCCAACTACATGCTACTGGATTTAAGATGCTCCCCAACATAAGGCCTGAATGTGGTCAAATTAAGTTCCGTAACTAATAACAAAACACAAACAAATGTCCACCTCAAATTCTAAATTTGCACCTTAAGTTTTAAAATGGGCAAAAGCTAGAAACAATCCCAAATACCCGTAACAACAAGGCCCTATAAATTATCTGTTAGTAATGGGCGCCCATGTGGCATGACCATTAAAATTTGATTTTGAATCCTTATCCAAATAGGTTTTGATTTTGAAATCAAACCTATTTAGGATAACCACTCTTGAAACAGACGTTATCAGTTTGAACTGTGGTATATGAGACACTATTTCTTTTCTTTTTGGGTTGATGTCTCTATGCTGGCTCATTTTGAGTTTCTAGTATAGAGCTCCCACATGCAAAACGAACCAAAGCCCTAACCTCAAACTGAATTAATTCAGCTGTGATTGGTGAGATGTTGAAGGATTGGTGGAGATCAATGAATCTGGAAACCCTAGTTTCATAGATGAGAGAGAAAATGTAAGCATGTTTGGGCATCGCCAGATCAGATGGCCTCGTTCAATTTCGAACGGTGTGGGAAAAAATTTCGGATTTTCTGTTTTAAAATTTAAGGGAACCATGTATATATAGATGGGCGCCGCCTCTTCTTTTC